GACACTATGGTGGTGGTTGCCAAGATTGCGAATGGAGGGAATATGATGGGACATTGGTTGATGAAAGATGGTAAGCATTCGCGACTATAAATATGTATATCATGAATACTTACTTATGCTATAAGCTATAAGCGCTTAATATCTAATTCGATTATAACGAATGAACAGGTATGCAACTCAACAACTTCTTCCAAACGGAGAATTCATATTGATAGGAGGACGAAAAAGTTTTAGCTACGAGTTCATTCCGTTACAAGAAGGACAAAAAGCAAAACAATCTTACTTTTTTCCGTACTTATATGAAACATCTGACTTTGATGAGAACAACTTATACCCTTTTGTGCATCTTTCTCCCGACGGAAACCTCTTTATCTTTTCAAACAATCGTTCCCTCCTTCTGAATCCAACTACGAACAAAATAGTACGTACCTTCCCGATTTTACCGGGCGGCTCGCGTAACTATCCTGCCTCCGGTCAGTCGGCTCTCCTACCAATAGACCTCAACGCGGAAACCATCAAGGCGGAAGTCATCGTCTGCGGTGGAAACAGCCCCGACGCTTTCTTTTTAGCCGAATCAAAGAAAATATTCCTCCCAGCTCTTCAAGATTGCAGTAGGTTAAAAATCTCCGAGCCGTTCCCTCAATGGGATACCGAAATGATGCCATCAAGGAGAACCATGGGAGATGCTCTTATCCTTCCTAACGGACAACTGTTGTTCATCAATGGTGCACAGTTAGGTACATCTGCATGGTGGGATGCTGACGCACCGAATTACACACCTGTTTTATATGAACCAGAGAAGCCTAAGGGGTTGAGATTCAAGGTGATGAAAGCTTCTCAAATTGCAAGAATGTATCATTCAACTTCCTCGGTGCTTCCTAATGGAAAAATTTGGGTGGGTGGAAGTAACACACATGATACATATAAAGATAAAGTTAAGTATCCAACTGAGACAAGAATTGAAGCATTTTCTCCACCTTATTTGGAGGAGGCTTTTGCTAGGTATAGGCCACAAATTAATGAAGTTGCATCTGAGAAAGTGTTGAAATATGGAGATTTATTTGAAACTGAATTTTCAGTGGAAGATGGGTTAGGTTTGACAGTAAATGATATAAAGGTGACAATGTATCCACCACCTTTCACTACTCATGGTTACTCCATGGGTCAGAGACTAGTGGTTCTCAAGATTGATGAGTTCACTCAACAAGAACAAGGAAAATATAGGGTGAAGATGGCGGCGCCGCCGTCCGGGGCTATTGCTCCTCCTGGATATTACTTGCTCTTCGTTGTCCACCGTGGTATACCGAGCACAGGAATGTGGGTGCACATTCAATAGAAATAGAATAAACTCTATTTCTTATGATTAACTTTTTTCTTGTTTTGAAATTTTTTTTTTTTAGAAAAAAATGTAAACATGAAAATCTCTTTATTTAGAGTTATCGGAGAAAACAGAAGAATATTTTTCATTCTTACATGCCTTCAAATGTTTTATTGGTTAACAATAGATAGTCATGTTTATAAAAAGGGTTTTAAATGCATGATAATTACCCTTGGGATAGATGAATAATCCCATATAATACCCATTGTTCATTAAATGGGTCTCAAATTTATGAGTTTGGAAACTCGATACTTTTAAAAATGTGTGATGCATTGCATAACTAACAACCACATAACATGTTGATCTTTAATCACCTGATTAATGTGTCGTAAATATGTATAATAAGTTTGATCCGGTAAAGGTATTTCAAATTATTTTGATCCTAACTTATCACATTGTAACATTTTATTTTAAAAAGAAATCAATGACAATTTCATTTAAATCAGATAATTTAAAAAATACAAATTTTATTTTATAACTTCAAATATTAATTCTGATCGAATGACTATTGTTATCTCGAATACATTAGTGCATAATCCAATCTTAACTTCATGGAAGTAGAATCTCAAAGGTTTAAAAAAAATGAAAGTCTCAAAATAGGAGGCTAAATAATAAATAATATTTTCTTCTTGCATATAGTTGAAATTTTGTTTGCATAATCTTCAACTAGCTATTATAGTTTATGATTTATAGTTGAGAGAATAATGACGATTCTCTACACTTAAAATTCGACGTATTCGGTACATTGTAGACTGGTCGATCGAAATCAAATAATTCATATTTAAATTTGGAATAAAACAAATAAACAAATAAAATATGTTTTTTGAATCGTCCGATCACAATCAAACAGACACGGATACTATAAAGCGTGAATGCTTTGAAGCATGACTGCAAGAAATTATAATCAAATAAAAACATTGTGTATTACTTAATATTTTTATATTATGCAAAATGAAACGGAATAACATAGAACAAAATGAAGATTTCATTCCATCGTTTGAGTATTTTATAACATAGTAAAACAAATTCTTCGTTCCATTCAAATCGGAGGACCATCTCATTCCGTCGATTCAAACATAGGAAAAACTTTCTCCGCACTAAAATAACTTAATATGTCAACATTAAAAATAAAATAAAATTGTGTTGAATTGTCTACGTACAGTCTCGTAACTATGTTTTGTTTTTTTAGAAATGTTGAGTGAGACAAATCGCTAAAATTATTAGCTTATTAACAAGTATAGCTGGATGGATTACACATTACAGCCACTCCCATCTTAATAGTCTCGTGCGAGAATTTATGTTCCTAGTTCCCACCCAGGCTTGGTTCCTTTGGGAGCGCCACACCAGCTTCCCATGAAGCCTACGCGCACAAATCAAAATACCACCTCTATTTCAAATTATTTTAATCCTGACTAATGACTGAGGTAGCTATATAAATTTTTTACAAAACAAAACGGAACCATATTTGAACACTTGTACACAATCAGTAGCCAGATTATTTATGAATCCAGAATTAAATTCTTTAGGCTCTCAATTTTAGAAGCAATAATGTCATGCCTACAAATCCCATGAACATTTAAACAGATCATCTTTAGGATTTCATATTGCTGGTTTGAACATATAAATACAACCACCAAGGCAAACCAATGATAAATCAACAAAGTTTTTAACTTCATAGGTGCAAATTTCATGGGAGTAAACATGGGCAAGTTTGAAAAAATGTTGGTAACTTTTCTTATCTGTGCACTCTTACCAAACATAACCCAGGTGAATGCCAACTTTTCAAAGAGCATGTACCTCACTTGGGGTGTTCAACACTCATCAATTGTTGGTGAAGATCTTCACCTTGTGTTGGATAAAACCTCAGGTAAATTTTTATTTATTTGTACTTAGCATGCATCAGTTTTGGTTTCAATAGATTAATTCCTTCTAGCAAGATGAAATTTTGCATCAAAGAGCTAGGAAATAAGAAATTTGTTGCATTTTTCAATATGGCCTAATACCAGAGAAGGCATATTTTTATATATTCATGTAGCACTTAAAATTTGCAATCTAACTAAACATTAAGCAAACTGAGAATAATATGCTGCAAATGAATATTAGGTGGAAACAACATGGTATGATGGCTAACTACAAACACCAGAGAATCAAGTTTATATATATTCTTGTACTAGCACTTAAGATTTACAATCTTACTGAGCATTTTGCGTTCATCATTTATTGGCTATTGTGGAAATATATGGTGTTGCCTTTGAATTTCAGGATCAGCTGCTCGTTCGAAGAGATCTTTCTTATTTGGAAGTATTGAAATGTTAATCAAGCTGATACCTGGAAACTCCGCAGGAATAGTCACAGCGTACTATGTAAGCTCACTCGACCTACAAGAATTATACACACACAATACACAATCTCTTCTTAAATTCCCTAAAAAACACAAATTTAAATGTACTCCAGAACAGTCAAATATATGATAATTGTGCTAGTAAATGAAATGCTAATGCTTCTCATTTAAAATCCACGCAGTTATCTTCCACAGGAAGCCATCATGATGAGATAGATTTTGAGTTCTTAGGTAACAGTTCAGGACAACCCTACACAGTCAACACTAACATATATACACAAGGAAAAGGAAACAGAGAACAACAATTTCACCTCTGGTTTGACCCAAGCGCTAATTTTCACAATTACACCATTCACTGGAATCCCACAGAAATCGTGTAAGTTATAGCCAGAACAAAGCAACTCACTTTCTCAATTGTACCCATCTAATTGCTTGATCTATGTGATTATTTATCATCACTCTTAATTCTCAGGTGGTATGTCGATAGCATACCAATACGGATTTTCCGGAACTACGAAAACCAAGGCATTGACTATCCAAACAAGCAAGGAATGAGAGTTTATACCAGCCTATGGAATGCAGATAACTGGGCAACAAGAGGCGGACTTGTGAAAACCGATTGGAGCAACGCACCATTCAAGGTAGGGTTTCAACATTTCAGAGCAAGAGCTTGCAAGTGGAATGGAGCAGTTAGCATTAATCAGTGCGCCTCCAATGTCAAAGCAAATTGGTGGAAATCTTCAATCTACAAACAGCTGAGTTATGGCAAGATAAGACAGTTGAACTTGGTGAGGAAGAATTTCATGATCTATGACTACTGCAAAGACTACAAACGATTCAACGGACACATCCCTCATGAATGCTTCAAAACACAATCCTAATTCCTAATTCCATTCTAAAGATTTATCATGAATAACCATATGTATTCAATTTGTCACGATCTTGGTGATTTGCTTATTTCATTCTTGTATTGTATCGAATTATCATCTTATATATGAAGTAATAATAATAATAAATTTCCATGAACAAATGGCTTGTTATCTACATGACGAATACATTAATAGCAATCATAAGTGTCTGTATTCATTTCGGAAATGGATACCATTTCGGATACCGGAACAATCATATTTTTTCAGAGTTGTTGGTGCTGCAGATGTTGTTATACTCAATTCATGTCAAACATAAACCCTAGCCTAATAATTGAATTCGAATCTCGTAACTCCAATTATACATAATATTTTACAAAAATGAAAATAATGAAACGGAAAGAAAGAAATCAAGCTATGAATTGATACACAAGCAAATTCCGGTGATGATGAGAGCAGTACCGAAGAAAGTGCGGGGGAGATTTGTTTGTTCTCCGAGGAGTGTAGCAAAGAGAGCAGTGGAAGCGAAGGTGGTGGCGTTGGTGACGGGGACGGCGAGGGAGAGAGGAGCATCGGAGAGAATAGAGAAGAAAGTGGCGGAGGCGGAGAGATTAACGAGAAAGGGGATCGAGTATTGCCAAATTGAGAGAAGCTTAAGCCAGTTGCGGAGAGAGAATGCGATTTTTTGAGCGAGATTTGTTGATTGAGGATGGGGTTGTTTTGCGGAAGAGGATTTGAGTGCTTCGTCCCAAAGAAGTGCACCACGGCGCATGATAGCGTTGGTAGCGCCCCATATCAATCCCACTGCAATCATCTTTTCCATCTTTGCTCTCTCTTTCACGGTTTCACCTTTGCCACATCGCACTCACTGAACACGATTGAAATCGAAGTTGCTTTTTGCACCCTCCATCTTTGGGCTCATCTAGGTTGGGCTTTTACCGAAAATCAAAGTTACTTTTTGAACATCCAGATTTCAATTACGCAGTCAAGCAGTAATAATAAAAACGAGTAAAAGAAACCTTGTAACACTTCAAATGACAAATATGCCCTTGCCTCTCGACGCTTTTCTTCTTCTGTTGGGCGTGGCTCTGTTTTCTTCTATTTTTCGGTGCAGAAAAGAATGGAGCGTATCGTTGGCGGCACCTACAGGCTTAATCGCAAGATCGGAAGTGGATCATTCGGTGAAATCTACCTCGGTAAGCCTCTTCTCTCTTCCGTTATTGATATCAAAACGATTCTTGATTTTAGGGTTATTTGTTCTAATCGCTTTTTGTTGAATTCTTGTGTTGCTGCAGCTACGCATATTGATACCTCAGAAATTGTCGCTATCAAAATCGTAAGTTTCTCTTCCATGTATTTGCTAGGGTTTTTTAATACTCCATTTTTCTAATTCAATTTACATATTCAAATTTTCGTGTTATTATGCATGAGCAGCAATTCAGCAAGCGTTAATTCGAGAATTAGGTTATGATTGGATTGATAGACTAGAACGGAGCGGAATGAAACATAGTTTGATTTCATTGTTTTAGTTTTTTTTTTTTTTAATATTTGACGGAACGGACCATAATAATTAGTACCTCCATTGCATACATCTTAAATTGGAGGAATGAAACTTAACTTTAGATTTTTTGATGCTAACTCTTTCTTTTGAATGTTGCAGGAGAATAGTAAAACAAAGCATCCGCAGCTACTTTACGAGGCAAAGCTCTACAATGTTCTTCAAGGAGGAAGTATGCATTTTGCTACATTTAGTTTTTGTTTTTTTGTGGTTTGAGGGAGGTAGAGGTGTGAGTGTGAGTGATGAGGTTGAGATTTTGGATTTCTTGTTTCAGGTGGCATTCCAGGCATAAAATGGTTTGGCGTTGATGGGGAGGATAACGTACTTGCCATTGATTTACTTGGCCCTAGTCTTGAAGATCTTTTTGTGTATTGTGGAAGGAAGTTTTCATTGAAGACTGTGTTATTGTTAGCTGATCAAATGGTATGGTGTCCGGCTTCTCTGATTTTCACCAAAACATATGCTTAATTCGTATGTTTTATAATATATGATACTAATTCGTTCAGTTCTCTCTTTTTCTTTTATATGTTATGCGCAGATTACTAGAATAGAATATGTGCACTCTAAAGGATATTTACATAGGGATATTAAACCGGATAACTTCCTCATGGGACTTGGTCGGAAAGCCAACCAGGTAACAGTCTTTTTATTGCTAGCTAGTTGGTCTTGCCCCTCCATCAACTATTTGTTGCCTACTTATTAAGGTTCCACTTGTGTGTGTAATTGTGTTGTTCTTGTTAGGTTTACATAATCGATTTTGGGCTGGCAAAACGGTATCGGGACTCCACAAGCAATCGCCACATTCCTTATAGGTAGTTCTTCAGTAACCATTTAGTTTACTCTTTTTATTTTCAACATTTATATCTTCTAAATTGCACTCATCTGTTTATAAATTATTTTCACATTCCCACCACCTTAATCAGTTATTGTACCCCGGTTGTTCTGCATTTTTTCCTTGAAAATGCCTGGATTATTACTAACAAATGTAACTGACAGGGAGAACAAAAACTTAACAGGGACTGCTCGATATGCCAGTTGCAATACTCATCTTGGGATTGGTAAGTCTGAACTTAGAAGAAGATATTAACCCTTCATCCTTGAATATATGTTTACACATTCTCATTGCTATATTATTTTTAGAGCAAAGTAGACGGGATGATTTGGAATCACTCGGATATGTATTTCTGTACTTCCTTAGAGGAAGGTATGACATTCTGTTCCACCCGATCTTTCCTTAAATATTTTTTCCATAACATATTATCTTTCGTGACTATATAATGAATTGTCCTAAATATTTTTTGATTAGCCTTCCTTGGCAAGGTTTAAGGGCTGCAACAAAGAAACAGAAGTATGACAAGATATGTCAGAAGAAGGTATCAACTCCTATCGAGGTTAGTATTAAATCATTTATGTGTACTGTGAAGCACATTGGCCACTCTGAATAAAACTAAATAACTGGCATACTTATTTTTTATTTTTCCTTTCCAAAAGGTACTATGCAAATCTCATCCCGTAGAGTTTGCTTCATACTTCCATTACTGCCACTCGTTGACGTTTGATCAACGGCCTGATTATGGATTCTTGAAGCGCCTATTTAGAGACCTATTTGCTCGGGAAGGTGATTGTTTTTCATTTTTCAAATGATATAAAAAATGAATTGTACCATTTTATTTGAATGCCTTAGCAATTTTTTTGGAGGCATGGACATTATTATCAATCTTTATAAAATTTGAGTCTTCTGATCTAATCTTCCTTTCAATGCGTCATGGGGCTCCTTATATAATTTAGTCACTCTGATTTTTTTCGGTTCTTCACGTCTAAACTCTTAATAACTATTTAATTTCAAATTCACAAATTTCAAATATTTCTTCTGATTTATATTAAAATTTTCATAATACTGTACAACACTAGGTACTCCCTTTTTAATACATAAAAGTTGGGTTTCAACAAGTATCTCACTTGGAGATCAAAGTGGAGGGAAATTTTTTCTTCAACTAAAAATACAATGAAAGTGAATACTTAGGGCATTAGCTAGATTCTTCAGAAGATACACAGCATACACAGTATTACTCTTTACAGACATTGCACTCTGTAATGCGTTGATATTATTCTACAATCTTTAATATACATGTAGCCGGGACATTGAGGAGATTAGATTAGGAGAAGTCCTTGTTATTTCAAGAATGAGGACTCAAATTTAATATATATGTGCTACTTAACTTATACACATGAATCCTTTTATTGTTTACTAAGTAGTCAAGCATGCCAAAAGGGCCTCTTATTTTTCATTGCTAAACCAAATATAATTTTTCCTCCCTCTACTTTTCCTTTATTCATATCAGGTTATGAGTTTGATTTTGTTTTTGATTGGACCATTTTAAAGTATCAGCAAACACAGAAGCATAGAGTGCCGCCTTCCTTATCTGTGAGTATATTTGATTTTTGAGTCCCTGCGTATACATATTTGATCTTTCTGTCATTTAGTTTTTGGGGGTGGGGGTAAATGATGATTTCACAACTAGAATCTTCCCCTGCTTCTGACAATATTAAAATTGTCTTATCACAGCCAGTTCCCGAAGCAAGTAACAACCGTGCAGTCCCAATGGATGTTGATAACCATCAAGGTTTGTGTGTCTTAAGTATGTTATATCATTTATAAATTTTAGACGTTTCCTAAATTCCTATCAAGAAATAACTTGTGTTGGTTGCTACACAAATTTACAGTAAAGGCGACAAAAGTATATTTTTGTTGACAACCTGCAAGGTTGGCTAAATCCTTGTGTCAAAGTCTTGTCTTGGAACTGGAAGATGGATTGAATGGCAATTAGTTTTCTACTTAATCAAATATCTTGTTTGTTATCACCTAATTGTCAGTTTTTAATGCATATTCAGGGCACGGTGAAGAACGAATTAAATCAGGAAACACTGCTGGTTCTGGTGTCAAAGTTCAGTTTAAATCACCAACTGCTAGAAACTTGAGTTCTGATAACCCTCTTGACAAGAATGTAAGTCATCTTGCCCTAAAAAACTCACTCTTCCCATGATGGCTGTGATGCAATATTAAAGTAATTGTTCTGTGATTGCCCAACATTATATGTAAAAACTAAATAGATTAGCATTTAGTAATTATTCTCTTTTTTGTAGATTTTTGGAGAAGCAAATATGCCCTCAACTTCGCATTCTCCTGCTGGTACTTCAAAAAGGAACCCCTTGAAGCCTGCCTTGTATACGGAACCTTCCAACCCTGGACATGGGCAAGGGAGTAAAATCGGCCCTTCAAGTAGCTGGATGTCATCTCTGCAGCACATATCATCTTCCAAATGAATGTCAAGTGTGGTAATTTTCTGCTTCATGCTGTTTTTTTAAGAGATTTCTGGTTTGTGCCGTTGTTTTATCCCTTTTTCTGCTTGAGTTTTGTTCGTAACTACACTGATGCTTTGTTGTTTGCATTTTGTAGTATTCTATCTCCGGGCTTGGATCGTCTGAAGATTCCTAGAAGAATACATATGTGAAGCTGCAAAATGCATCGTGGTTTGTTTGCATCATTCCCCAAGTGTTTGGTCAAGAATATTCAAGTGATGTATCCATGGACACGGACACTGTGAATGTGCTGGATGGTTGACAAATTTCATAGCTCCTATTTGAGGTGACTGACTACAAACAATTGTGAAGTACAAAATACAGTCTATCTAGGTTTGAGTTCCGGTGCTGTACATAGATGTCAAATGTGGCACAGAGCATTGTGTATTCGTGTTCTCATGTAACATTAATGTGTGAAGTAGTTGTTATGATACTCGATGATTATTATCACTATACCATATGATAAGTGGCAATACAGCCTGGTTTAAAAAATTTAAATTTATTGACAATATTATGAATTGCAAAGGTAGTTTTTAGAAATACTTAACACAGTTTTTATAGGCATTGTTTCTCCTTTTACTTGTTCATTTTTTCTGTCTGAACTAGAAACAGTACACTTGCACTTCTATAGCTTACATATCATGTTTAGAAATCATGCATAATTTTTTTTTCATAGAATGGGAGAGCTCTAAACTCAACAGAGTTTCACAAATATAAATTGTTCTCATTTAGACTTATTTTCTTTGATCATTATCTGCATTTCATGATGGTAATTTGCACTTTTTCTTGTTAACGACCAGGTTATCAAAAATAGAAATTATATTCATACACAGGCAAATATTATAGCTGAAAGGTCACTGAAATAATGGTTTCTTATGAGTTTTCGAAGATAGTTCTTGGGGGCATCTATTCACACTCACATTATTTCATGCTTGTCCGTTATTTGGGTGATGGGATGATTTAAGTATCAATATCTGTATCTCACCGCTTGAAATTTATCATTTTGGCTTAAATCTTGAAGTTTTTTTATTTGAAGAGAAAAAATCTGTCCTGCATAGATCAAAATTTGTATTGATAAGAAATTTTCAGTTTGTCTTTGATCTTATCAACTTGTTCTATGTTTTTTCTTTAATTATAACTCTGATGCTGAACAGGTACTTATTTATGTTTTATCAGCTTGTTTTAAGTGTTTATTATGACTCTGACGCTAAACAAGCACTTCTTTACTTGTAGGTAGCCCCATTTGACCCTTGCTGAGGTTAATTTGTGATCTCATTCTAGGGATGAAAGTGTTGAATCTAGTTTTGTTTCAAGTGTGATTCAAGGTTTGAATTAGTTGATGTATATTTCGTTTTCGTCTGATAACTAACTGGTAAAATAAATTTGGTGATGCTCAGTATCAGTCCATATTTTTACCTTTGCAGGTCCTCCTTTTCTACTGAATATATTGTCATAAAGAAGAAAAATGGCAGTAATGCCACTTATGGATGCCACTATGTACAGGAACATACTCATGATGCTGCTACTTTTGATGAACAAATCAGTTTAAGCACTCTGGATGAAAATGCAGCAAGGAATAATTAATATTGGAGATTACGAGTCAATGTGATTTCTATGGTTTGTGCAAATTGTCATTGTTTTCGACTAGAGAAAAGGGAGTTACATAGTTATGTTACTTCAATTTAAAAATTTTGGATTCTCTTTCTGGCCCAAATTACTCATTTGTTTTGAAATGCAGCAACAATTGACAAGTAAGAAATGAGTTGATTTGTCTTTGCTTGTTGCAAGAGCATGCAAGGTAACACCGATCAGATAATGTGAAAGCTCTGTGCTGATATAGGTTTGTTCATTTGACATCTTTGCACCAAAACAATGAATTCACAATTGAAGGTTTCACAATTTCGATTCCCTGTATGTGACATGCTATTTTGTGATTCTCGAGCATTCTAAATTTGTTAGAGAAGTTAAAATTTAGACTTCTGAAGTTTGATGAGCTTTGGAGTTTGATCATTTGATGTTTCACTAGCTTGGAGTGTCTGATATTGTTTAAGAAAGTTTGCGGTTGGGAATTTTCAATTTTCTTTAGAACTGCTTGCACTTAGTGACAAGCTTGAAACAACTCTTGTTTCCGATATGAATGTTAGTCAGAAAACTATTTTGGACACCATGTATTTCTCTATTATTCAATCCATGATTTACATAAGAACATGATGTATTATCAGTGTTTTGTGCTGGTTGGACATGTCTAAAACAATTATATAGATCAAAATCTCCAGATAGCTAGATTTCATGAGCAACAATTTATTCTCACGGCCACTCCGCATTTGTTTTAGTTTAGTCTATTAGCGTTTGTTTTTCTTACTAATCTTGAGACTTATGTTTAGATGGAAAAAACTGCTATTGCGTTCATTTGGTGATGGAAGGTACGCTTCGTACATAGACTCTTTGGAGGCATTTTGTATGTATGGTGACTTTTTCACATATATTTCAAGTTCAAAATCTCTTCTGTGCAAAGTAGGAGATTGTGAAGAATGAAGATTATTTCACATCCATTTGAAAATGCTTTTATGTGCCAAATGCATCTTGTAACGTTTTATACTGGCCACTTATCCGTGTATTTTTTGTCGTGCATGCTAATGTGTTGAAGTGGACACTACCTAAAAAATCCATTTATTCTAAGTTGCAGCTAAAGAATACAGAGAAAGGAGAGTAATAAAATGGTGTACAATGATTATTCTATTAACATTATGTAGGTGCCTTCTTTTTGAACGTTATTAATTAGTTACAAAAACACCAACTAACAAGTTAGTTATACAATAACTAACTTCAACAAGTTACACCTAATAATTTTGCATTTGGATTATAACAAACTACTTAGTTCTAATGTGATCCCTCAATCAAATTGATTAGAACTAATTGATGAGTCATGGCATTAATATTGGATCAAAAACAACATACTGACGCCACATATTTATTCAAAATTTTTAGACATTAAATATATAGGCTCTCTTATTTATAAAGTGTCCACCCTTTATTTTTTTAAACAATGTTGAACTTCTAACTCTCATTATCAGAATAATTTCTTCTTCAAATGTGAGTCAATTCACTTATATGTTCTTTCTTAAGTGAAAGCTCTTTTATGCTCATACACATGTACTATTGTTGACACTTTTGTCATGTCACATGTATTTTGATATAACTCGTTGCCTGATCACTAGCTTATCATGAAGACTTTCAATATAAAGAGTCAGTCTTTTAGTTGAACTATCGGTTCTGATACCATTTTAATGAAAATTGTCACTAACAAGTAATATATAGTTGATATAAATTTTCAACTTGCAAAAATATTTGAGGAGAAACAATAAAAATGGCATAAAATATAGCAAATAAATAGCACTAAATTTTAACTTGAAAACCCCAACAGCCCTCTTCAATGTAAGGGAAAATGGATTGTCCAAATCAAAGAAATAGTTTCACGTGATCAAATGAGATTACAAGAGAGTATCAAAATAATGCATAAATAGTGCCAATAACTAATTAAAACAACAAAGAACAACTAGTTAAAACAACAAAGAACAAAAGCTCACAATTTGAGAATAAGAAGATAAAATTTCCACACAAAAAAAAATAGTGTTGTGAGAATGTGATGTCTTTCTACTTAGACATTGTTTCGTCAATCTCAACGATGAAAGTGTAGCATTATGTCACACGAACTTTCTGTCCAAAAATTAGTCTGATTCAACAATTAACAAATTCAAAATCTCTATTTTTATGAAATTTGTTTGAGAAAGATGAAAATGAGTTTTTTTCTCACTAGTGGCTGATTTTCTCATTTCCTTTCTCTCTATGTTATAATCCTCAAATTATCATATTCACTTAATAATATAAGTGAGACACAAATAGACTAACATGTTTAAGTCTTTTTCACATATGAAGGGAGCTAAATATCTAACATATCTTCCTTTCACAAATATGTGGAGGTAATTACTCATGAATTTCAATCAGCATCTGTTTATTTTTTATACTAAATTGTTTATCTTACAGGTTTACGAGATAGACGGTTCTATGAAGGATAGATTATAGATTTATATGAACACTTGAGGAGATTTCAAGAAAAATGTTCCCCATGCTAGTCAAATGGAGTAACTAAAGATCAAAAGATACTAATATTATTCACTTTCACGCTTATAAAAAAAAAGAATGATTAGATGTCTTGCCAAGTGGTGTCATGCATACATGGGTTAGAGCTCGAAAAAAGTTTATTAGAATGGTTATATCCAATCAAGGAGTACGTAGACAAGATGGCAAACATCGTCGAACAATGTGATAATGAATCTCTCTATGATGCAGGGGAAATGTTAAAATACTATTGAAAATATGTTTGGAACATCGTAAGGATGATATGGTTTAGGAATGATATTTCATTCAAGGTTTAAGAGGAAACGCTCAAATTCTTCCTGATGCCTTAGTTGGAGGCCTTAATATGATAAAAAATGAAACATAAGTTAAAAAATTCATAGAGTACATGAAGAAAAACGAGTATCTCACACTAAACGACAAAGGTAGACAAAGAAAAAGAGTTATAGCACTTGATACTCAAAGTGCATTATTAGCCACTCATCGGAAAATGAGCGTCCAACTAGAAGCCTTGATAAAACAACTCGAAAGGTCCAATAAGAAAATCAACAAGTACAACAAGCTCAAGTTCTCCAATTTGATTTATGTGGAGAGGTTCGTTTAAATGGCTTATGTGTTCTTGAAAGTAAACTGAGAGAATAGACCAACTACACAAGAGATTTATAGAGAGTTAATCTGTACTCCAACACTTATAATCTAGGATGGAAAGATGTTCAAAACTTTAGGTAGAGCAACAATCAAAGTCAAGCCTTAAATCAAAGAGCACAACAAAATCAATAATATCATAATCAATAACCTAGAAAATCATATGTGTTAGAAGAAACTTT